GGGTGACTACTCAAGGCACATTTTATTGGCCAGATTAGTTGATATGTATCATCCTTTGCCTCTGGAAGGCAAATTACTATATAAGATCCTGTCCAGCTGGTAAAACATCAAGGCTTCACTGCATTGTACCTTGAAGTAAAGGCTATCTGTTGTTAGGTTGAAGACAGAATAGTTCATCTTTACACAGGCCGGACAAGTGCTCAGTCTCCTGAGACAGTACCTGAGATTGTTTGGTTGCTGAGCCAAGGCAGCAAAAATCAAGCACGGTCAAATGAAGGCTGTGAAAGACTTGAGGGAGCAGGCATGCAGTAGACTACATGCCATCTAACCTTTGAAAAGGAAGTCTTACAGCATCAATAGTGTAGCCTTGTGCAGTACTTCACCTGTTTCCATTCTGGACCAGTTGACATTGTCTAGTTATTTTACCTCCCATTACTGTGCTATTACTGAAGTCAAATTCCTTGTGAAGGTTGTGTAACATAATCCACATATGGTTAATGACGGTTCCTTTGACATTCAGGTGAGTGTGGCTGAGACAGCTTGTCTGATTGAGTACCCTAGTGAGCAAGGTGTGCACGAAGAGTTATATTGCTTGCAGGGTTGAGTAATTCTCAAGCAAGCGATTTGGGTGGCCATTAGGCATGGACATGAATGTCACAATCTTTGTTAGTCAGAGGCATGGATCTGTCCTTATACTGTAATAACACCACCAGTAATTGCACATTTGTGGGTTATTAAGAATGATATTGGCAGATACACATCTGGATCTGTGTGCTGCTCATGTGCTTTCCTGGCTTCTTCAAAGCCAAATGACAGTACAGAATCCCTAACACCTCTCTATGGTGGCTGCAATGGGGACAGAGGAGCAGCTTCCATGGTGATGTTACAGATAACATCCTCACGTGGTAAGTCTTCATGGCAGGAAACGTGTTAAGCTTGATATATCGAGGGGTGCCTCTTGAATAGCACTGTAAGCCTGATATTTCCATGCCAGAGCTGCCAACCTGAGAAATGCTTATCAGGAGGAGCAGTAGGAATAACAGCCTGGGGGTGCCTGAGTGGCTTAGTCGTTGAGCGTCTGCCTTCAGCTCAGGTCATGATCCCCGGGTCCTGGGATCGAGCCCCGCATCAGGCTCCCTGCTCTGCAGGAAGCCTGCTTCTCCCTGTCCCTCTTCTGCTGCTCCTGCTTGTGCTTTCTCTCTCTGTACAAAATAAATAAAATCTTTAAAAAAAAAAATAATAGCTCAGCTCAATAACTGTAGGCAATGGAAGCATGAACCCACATGGGGTGATGATTGAACCAGTGGCAGGAGTTCCTTGGGACATACTGGAACACAGGAATGTCACATCAGACTGGAGTTTATTGATCTTTGTGTTACTTGCCTTGATTGTTGCGCTGATGACTGTAGCTAACGATTCTACAGCAGCTCTAACAACAGAGATGTCTGATGTCAACTTGTCTGTGATATAAGATCAGTGAATTTGTCTTCTATGCCAGAATCACTCAGAGCTCTTTTTCCTCTTTGTAGCTCACTCTAGGTGGGCTCCTTGGTTGAAAGCTCCTCTGATCCTGTCTCTTGGTCTGAGAGAGCTGAACTTACCCCTGAGCTACCATGCCACATATCTTGGAGGTAACTCCTCAGATAGTGCTGGGGTATTAATTGCAATCAGCTGCTCCAGGTTGTATCCTGAACATGGTTCTGTTGACCTTGAAACCATGGATTAGGAGCATTCAGAGGAGCTCTGCAACTGCTGACATTTCCAGAATCCAACACTGGTTCCAAGACATAGTTTTTAGTGGTGGAAAAACTGGATACCACATGACTGTCCAGGAATAAGCAATAAGGGATAAAAGATTAATTTCTGGTATTTCTACACTATGGAATATTATACAGCTGATAGACATAAATTAGATCTATATGATTTATCTCAAATAATATTGGTTATAAAAGCAAGTTTTAAATCAATTTTTTTAGAATGAGTCCATACTCATAAAAATCTACATGATTGTATATTTGAAAGAGCTTGGAGAAAGATGACAGGGCACTTGCTAAACTGTTAACATTGGTTACTTCTAATATATGGGCAAAATAACGGGGACCTCTTTTAGAGGATTTCATACCTTCAAGGAATGGATTATTAGCTTTTACTTTGTATATCTTCGGATTTCCTCACTCGTTACAAAATTAGCTGTCATTAAAATTAATGAAAAATTTTAATTTTGTTAGGGGAAAGGGCCACTAAATTTTTCTTAACTTACCCAACAGCATCTAATACAATAAACATTTTATAAGTATTTGTGGAAGAAGACAGGAGGAGGAGAAACAGACTTAAATATTTGGTAGAGATAGAAAAAACCATTAAACCACCAATGGCATGAAGAAGCATTGCGGAACCTCTAAATGGGCAGTGAGAGAGGGGAAAAAAGAGAAACTTGATCACGCTGGCAAAATAAAATGGGAAAAAGTGAAAAAAGCAAAGTAAAATAAGATACTATAAGATCAACATTGCAGTTACTCCAATAAATGTAAATGGGTTGAATTTACCTATCAAGTGAAAAAAATTTTTCATATTGGTTAAAGTCAAGGCGTCAGCAGGGCTGTGTTCCTTTTGGAGACTAGGGGAGAATCTCCAACACCTTGCTCATTCAGGTGTTGGCAGTATTCAATTCTGTGAGGTTACAGGACTGCGATCCTGTTACCTTGGTGACTGTCAGCAAGGAGCAGACCTTAGCTCCTTGAGTCCTCTCAGGCCCTTGCAGATAGCCTTCAACATTTCAGAAGCAGCAACAGGGAGTGGCATCCTTCTCAGGCTTTGAATTTCTCCAGTGATTGGATTGGGCCTACCTCCCCCACCCCCCATAATTCAGGATAATGTCATCACAAGGTCCTTAATTTTAATCACACTTGCAAAATTCCTTTTGTAAGGTAACATTCCCAGGTTCTGGGAATTAGGGTGTGGACATCTTTGGGGGCCATTAATCTGCCTGTCACAGTGAAGGACCTAAACAATTTTTAAATAAATGTAGAAAAGGGTCACATTTTTGGACGGGAAGATGTGCTATTTGTAAAGATGTCATTTCTACCTGAATTAGCCTACAAATTCTGTGCAAGATGCTTTAATGATAACCGAAATTGGATTTTGAATCAAATGAAGCGATAGATACTCAGAGAAGACTGTATTGCTTAGAAAAAAAGAAACACATTTCTTGCACTTTAACTCAGGTAGACTTACACAAATATTATTCTAGATACAAATATACCAATATCATGCACAAGGGCAAGGTAACATATCCCACTGTTTCCAATATTCTGTTAACATCCAGGATTTTTCTACTCACCTTATTTTAGGAACACATTTGACTGATATTTTGAACCATTTACAGAGAGACTACCACCCTTTCCTTTTTAATAACCGAAAGCTCGACTCCATCATCCTATTTTCCCCCAACACATCCTTTTTACACTTTTCAAATCTGAAACTCATTTTATTTTTTCTGTCCACTCATACAGCTTCATGAGAAATTTCAAGAGAAGTTCCTGGCAGTTGGGCACTGTGTCTTCTCGGTTTACTTGTGATAGCACTTAGAAAAATGTTTCTAAAGAAACATTTCTTTCCTTAAGAACCATTTCCATCGCGACGTTTCCCTAGAGATGTGGACGGTACTGTGGACTGTACCAAGGCAGGTTACATGGGTGGGTGCAGATTCTGTGATAAGGTTTTTATCCCCTCCATTTCTTTGCCTGTTTGGGGATGGGGGTTGAAGATGAACACGAGGAAAGTGTATTTGTATCTCCTCCAAAGAAAGTTAACTTCAGTAAAACCGCCACTCTTAACTTGCAAAGAAGCTCATATAATGACTCTATTTACAGATGTGATTAGTTCATTCAAAAAAAAATTATTTCAAGGCAAACGTCATGCTCTATTAAGCATAAGTATGTTCGGAATGTATCCTATTTACAAATCCCCGGAAATAAAACAGTCACCATTGTTTAATCCCCAACACCAAGCACAGAGTCCTCGGAACTGACTTCTCAGCAGTCATTCTGACCCGCTGGTTATATATAGATCGACTGTGGGAGTCTTGCATTCTGTCTCCAACTTTCTTAACCTTTACTAGGCAAAACATGGGCATAAGCAACCTTTTCTAAGTTAATACTGCACTAACAGAGATCCTGGGAAGTCCGCAGCCCGGGAGTGGTCAGGAAGAAGAGGCCGTGAAGGGTCCAGGGAGGTTCAGCCCGAGTCTGCAACTTCCCAGAGTGGGTTGGCAACGGCCCATTCTGCACACACCCAGCAGAGGGTCGCGAGCCCGGCATTGGGCCGCGCGAAAATCCCGCACTCTACCAGTTTCAACAAAGAAAACATGCCCACTGATACCCGGACGCAGCAGCTCCGCCCCCGCCCCCGCTCCCCCCCCCGGGGGACGATGACGCATGCGCATCCAGGACTTTGCACAAGGCGGGCGAGGCGGGGCGGGGCGGGGCGCGGGAAGAGAGGAGAAAGGGCGGCGGTTGGGCGAGAGGGGAGCCACGCCCACCGCGCCAACGTTTCTGCGCATGCTCTGCGAGTCAGCTTCTGGTATTTTAGACGCGTCTGCGGTGTCCGCGTCTAGAGGCCGGAGGTTGAAATCGAAGATTTGCTTTTCAAAGAGCAGCTTCGAAAAGCCTCTCTTCATCCTCAGCTTCGAAAGGAAGGCGTCTGTTGGTCCTTTCCTTTCGCCTTCGGTGTGGGGTTGGCGGCCTGTGGTGGTAAGTTTACTGGTGACGGGGTCGGTCCCAGGTACGTGAGGCGGCGGTGACGCGTAAAGGGGACGCGGGCAGGCTAGCCTTGGGGATTGCCACTTCCCGGAGTCGGAGCGGCTCGGTTAGTTTCTTGGCTTGGGGCCCGCCCGCGCGACTCACTTCCGGTCCCCCCTCCTCACCCCTGTTGTTCTTAGGCGCCTAGTTTCCGGGTGGGGATCCTGAGAGACGGAGGGAAGTTTGCAGCCTCGGGCAGAGATGTCTCAGTACGTGAACGACCTGTGGCCCGGCTCGCCTCGGGACAAGGAGTCCCCCTCGACGTCTCGGTCGGGCCGGTCCAGCCGCCTGTCCTCGGCGTCCAGCAGTCGCTCGTCTTCTGGGAGCTCTCGGTCCCGCTCTAGCGGCTCGAGCCGGGCATCGTCGCGGAGTCGGAGCCGGCCCCGAAGGAGGAGCAGGTCCAGGTCCTGGTCCAGGCGGCGCCACCAGAGGAAGTACAGGCGCTACTCGCGCTCCTACTCGCGCAGCCGGTCGCGCTCCCGCGGCCGCCGCTACCGGGACAGGCCCTACGGCGCGTCCAGCGGATACCGCCGGTCGCCGTTGCGGCCTCGCTCTCGCAGCCGCTCCGGCTCGCGGGGACGCCCGGATTACCGACGGGCCTACGCGCTGCCGCGGGGGCGGCGCTACTACGGCTTCCGCCGCACGGTGTACCCGGAGGAACGCCGAAGATGGAGGGGCAGGTCCCGGACCCGGTCGCGGAGCCCCAGCCCTTTTCGCTTGACTGAGAAAGGTGAGTCGTCTGCCGCGCACCTTTCCAGCGCATCCTTGTGCGTGGCTGGCGACAGCACGAGTGCGCTGGGGGACCAGAGTTGCCGTGTCGTGTAGATATTTCCATTGCTTTTTGGTGCCTGTCATCTTAGTAGTTTCGTTGGGAGCAAAGAGGGAGGGGACACATAAGCAGGTGAAGAGCAGTTAAAAGCGCTCTTTTTGGTACCCAGTGTTAAAGTGGACGTTCTTTTCCCCTGGGGACTAGAAGTCGACTGTGGTATTAAACAGCTCGCCGTGGAGGAAATCCTTTTTCCTAGTGGCTGGCCCTTCTCGGTGGAGCCTTTCTAGGTATTACTAGTGACTCAGTAGTTTGTTCCTTAAGCTTTTGTTACCTATTGAGCGGGAAGACGAGTATCAACTTTTTTCCTCAATACCGTGTTACTGGAACAACTGGATTTTGTTCCAGTATTTTACTTATTTATTAAGATTTTATTTATTTGAGAGAGAAAGCATGAGCGCGGTGAGGGGGAGAGGGAGAAGCAGACTCCCCGCTGAGCAGGGAGCCCTGTGGGAGGCTCGTTCTGGGACTCCTGGATCATGACCTGAGCCGAAGGCAGACGCTTAACCGACTGAGCCACCCAGGCGCCGCAGTTCCAGTATTTTAATACAGATGATTTGTTTTAGTGCTGGATAAGATCACAGAACAGAAAAAGACATGTAAACTAAAACTCGTAGGAGTCTGAAAATGGATTTAGAAAGGTATCTGCATTGGTTCATTAGTTGCGATGATTGGGCCATATGTAAAATCTATTACAAAAAAACTTCATATGTTCAGAGAAACACATTTGAAGAGAAGGGGAAAACAATTAGGAAATTCAGGACTTTGGTAAGGAAAACTGAAAACCAGTTGTTGAGATTCTTTAGGGATGCTTGCTTGTTTTTCTCTGCAAAAAAATGAGGTAGAGAATTTTGTTTTTTTGATTCCAGCTGTATTTTACCCACCAAAACAAAATCTTTAAATGTTAATCTAAATAAAATACAAGCTTGTTTTGTGATTGGGCAGTCTTTGGGGAAATGTACTACAGGATTAACGAATGTCTTGTCTTGTTTTTCTAGATCGAATGGAGCTGTTAGAAATAGCAAAAGCCAATGCAGCAAAAGCTTTAGGAACAGCTAACTTTGACTTGCCGGCTAGTCTCAGAAAAGTTCTTGGATCTAAAGAGACGAACCATGGAACAGCTGTACCAAACAGTGGTGCAAAGTTTGAGGTGAGTATTCTAGGTTTATCCAAACAACATCTTCAGAAAGCTACTGTTAGAAAGATCTAATTGGCCATTTTTATTTGATTTATATTAGAGTGCTTCTTGGAAAGCCTAAATATAATTTAAGCTCAAAATAGCTCTGGAGAAGGTCTCTCCCTCGTGAAAATGGGAGATTAGTGATCTTCATTTTCATGTGACACAGTACTAATTACTTTCATAGTTGTAGGTGGTACTTGGTGATTTCTATGTAGCTATCGACTTTTTCTAACTAGCATTTACAGAGTATTTTATCTGTAGCTTTCATTTGCAGCATTATGTTCCCACAAATTCTGTATTCAACATACAGTATAGTTTATCTGCTTTATTTCTGTCTTATAGAAATCATGAATGTGGTCTCCAGACATTGATGAAGAAAATCTGTTGGTAATTGATACATGGGCAAAAACATCAGAGGTTTTACTAATTTGAAGTTTATGTTCACACACTGAAAGTTTAGTTTTTTGTTGGTAGATCCATGTGCATGCTAGAATTTGGGATAGGTACTATTTTGATAAGATACTGAAGACAATTTTTTTTTTTAAAACATTTTGTAATGTGGGGCATCTGTGATACAGATGTCCCTTTCTTAATACATGCAATATATTCCAGATGTTTTGAGAGATTACAGAAGAAGAGGCCTGCTTCACTTGCAGATAAGTTTATTATAATTTTCCAGAGATGTCCAGGATGTGCATTGGCAAATTGCACTGTGGTCTTAAAGTGTAAAATTCATTAGCCTTCAAGGTTTAAGGTAGTTATGAGTTGGATAGAATCAGTTAAGATAGGTTTATCTAGAGAACATTTTTCCTATCATTCAAACCCAGGTGTAGGTTTGCTTAAGTATTTAGTAATGAACAAGATCTTAGTCCAGTTGCTTTTTCAGATGATTAGGTTTCCAACTGGCAAACACCGTAGTTCTTAGAAACTAGGTATTTTCTGTTATGACTTTACTTTCAGAGTTAATTGGAATTTGCATCAGGGGAATATAATACTGTTTTATTGGGGAAGAGTGTCTTAAGCTGATTATTGAATCAGTTAAGGGGAAAGCTGGAATACTAACATCGTTTAGGCTGTTAAGTATATGATTAGATCCAAGTTGATTTGTGTCTCTACAACTAAATTTATATACGGTTGGGCTGCGTTTTATACAGTATGGTAAACCAAGGGTATTTTTTTTTTTTTTTAAGTATTTTTTCTCTTACCTGTTCTAGCTGTTGGAAAAACAAGCAGAAGATGGAACTAAAAATCCCAGTGAAAAGCCTTCCCAGCAAAAAAGCATAGCTTTTAGCTCTAATGTAAGTACATCTAGGCATTGACTACTCAAAATTGGATTTAGGGACATAATTCTATTATGTCCCTAATTTTATTTTTGTTGGAAGGCTCATTGTTTTTGTGTTGGTACTTTGGAGTCTACTAAGCCACTTTAGATAGAATAAACCTTTCTAATTTTTTGTACCATTCTTACAAGTGACCAGTATTTTGGCTCCCTCTGTATCTGATACTCATATTTTTGATATCAGTATTTTACTTTTTTACACATTCCTCCTATACTTGTTGAATTATTTAAAAAGCACATCTCAGAAAACGCTGTAATCAGAATATTTTAAAATCAGCCAAGGGTTTAAACAAAACAAAACTCTTTCAACGCATTATTTTGTAATAAACTTTGGCACATGTCTGATTTTTCCTAGTAGTTTTTAAAGTAGGCTTTACAGTTTGGATGATGTGATAAATATGGGGCCCATTCTTTGCTTTTGGATGGTGTCTCAAGTTTTAACCTTTAATGGAATTATTTAGTATATTTTGTAAAAAGCAAGTATTTTGAGTACAAGTATGTGTTTGCATAGCTGACTTAAGAATTTCTTCTCTTACAGAATTCTGTAGCAAAGCCAATGCTTCAGAAATCAGCTAAAGCTACTGCTGAAGAGACCTCTTCAGGATCCCCCAAAATAGACAAGAAAAAAAGTCCATATGGACTGTGGGTTCCTGTCTAAAAAAAGAAAACTAATGTATAAGGTTGGCTGAAATGCACTTTATTGCAAGTGTGTGTTCCTAGCATTATTCCATCTCTGGGAGTCATTTAGTGGTAATTGTTGGAATTACAAACAATGACAAAGAAATATGTAAATCTTTAATATTTAAATACTAACATTTTAGGTTTCTCTTATAGATAAGAGATAACACGTGGACCCAGAGGATTCATACAGGTGGGAGTCTTGTACATATACTTGTAAATGTTTTGTATAATATCGATTAGTTATGTAAAAGCAAAATTTATAAGAACAGTAATTGATTTGTTTATATTTAATAAATTTCTTGTTTTCTAAATTTGTGTCGCTTTGTTATGTATGTATATATTACATAATCTTAAAGAAGCATAAAGTGTCTCTAGTTTAAAGCCTTGCTAATCCCAAATCCAAATCCATGGACTGACGGCATAGGGTTCACTGACCTTACCCAGTTTGTGAGAAATGCTAAATCTCAAAGTCTCCACCCCAGAGCTGAATCTTAATATTCCCCAGTTGATGTGGGTCTTCATTTAAATTTGAGAAGTTATGCCTAAAATTTATGGAATTCTGGCATAGTATTGTCTTGGACGAGTTAAACTCCAAGCTTTAGGGCAGGAAACTCAGCCAGAGAGATAGAAATGGAATGCCTCATTGAGCTCTACAATCTGTGAAGTTTAGCTGCATTTCTTTATTACGTCTTTTTTTTTGAAGTATGTTTTTCTTTCTTACTTGCTTTCTCTTTTGCCACCAACTTGGGTAGTCTCAGGAAATAGATTGCCAATAGGGATGATAAGGTAAACAGGATGGGCAGAATATTAGATACGAAACAAATAACTCAGGAAAAGAAACACTCAAATAATATGAATAGATGAGCAGGCAGAAGTCCTGAATTCTTAAGTAGAAGGGACAGTAACGAAGGTTCTCAGATGGAGCTTAATTTGCTGTTAACTAAAGCTGTGCTGTCTTAATATTTTACCTGTACTTTCCAATCAGTAACATAGCCACTGGCCACATGTGATGATGTGCAGCTTCTCAGTCCTACTAGCCACTTCTGAAGTGTTAAGGCTAGTGGCTGTGTTACTGGAAAGTACCGCTAATAGAATATTTGTGTCCTAAAACATTGTATGGGGAAGAGCTGCTCTAATAAAATTTGACCTTAGGAAAATTTAAATGGACAATGAATGGAAAATTCTGTGAGAAAGGGTTGCTGCTCTGGGTGAACATGTCCATTTTACAATGTAGGTTAACAGTAGTTACCAGAAGGGGGACATGCTTCTGAAGAAGTACGAAAGTTTATGCAGTAGGTTCATTTTTATTCTAAGGAGACCTGAGAACATTGGTAGGCTGGCCTGGTTACAGCCAAATCCAATAAAACATGAGGATTTGAGTTGTAACTGAGAATGTGGCTAATATGAACACCTTGTTAGTATCTTTAAGTTGGTATCCTTAGCAAAGTTGCAGAGGGTTTCCTTGTGAGGGAGACTTTGGAAAAGAATTAATGATGTGATAATCTTTCTCACCTTCATTTCGCTGGTAGCATTTGCTGCTCTGATTATGACACGTATTTGAATACTAGTCCTGAACAGCTAAGTGACTGGACAAGTCCCGGAACTCCTCAACCAAACTCCTTCATTATATAAGAATTGTCTGGCTAATTACCACTTCCGATATTTCTGGAGTGATTTTTACCTTCGGCATTCTTCACCAGTAGTTTCTCCTTCAGTCTATTAGCACGCTTGAGGCTTAGCTATTTCATACTCTTTAATTTCTTAGTCCTGTTGGCTCATTTTATCTAGTGTCCTGAAAAGAATATGGTTTATATTCTTTTTTTTTTTTCTTCCCATAATTGCCCCATCAAGTACTAACAGTGTTCTTGTCTAAGTTCACCTTGTCTTTTGGGTCTGGCCAGATCTGTGTTTAGTTTGTCCTGGGCTTTGTAACAGAAAATAACGTACCGTGGGTGTAAAGCCAGACTGGCTGTCATTACGTAAGTGGGATGCAGTTGCCCAGGTGCGATATCCTGTTACTGTGTAAGTGGTGGACAGTAGAGCAGGATGGTGCCGATGGTGAGAAATCATACCAAGAGACTAGATTCAGTGCTGTCCAGTGAAAATGAGGGAACCACACTGAAAAAGGTAAAAGAATTAGTGAAAGTTTTTTTTTTTTTTAAAGATTTTATTTATTTGTCAGAGAGAGAGAGTTAGCACAAGCAAGGGGAGCAGCAGAGGGAGAAGCAGGCTCCTTGCTAAGGAAGGAACCTGATGTGGGACTCGATCCCAGGACCCTGGGATCATGACCTGAGCCGAAGGCAGACGTCCAACCGACTGAGCCACCCAGGTGTCCCTTAGTGAAAGTTTTTTACCCTAGTATATCTAAAATGTCATTTCAATATTCTAAGAATTGGTGGCCTTTTACTTTTTTTGTACTAGGTCTCGTAATCAGCACGTATTTTACGCTTAAAGCACACCTCAGTTTGTCCTAGCCACTTTTCAAGTCACATATGGTGGATGGCCACCCTTTTAGAAAGCACTTCCCTAGATTGGTTCAGGTGTTAAATCCTTTGCTTTTTTCCTTAAAGTGTGGACTAGAGGAACTGTATTTAACTCACCATAGCATGCTTTCCTTTCGTTTTCTTTGCTGAAAACCTCTCTTAAGCTTATCTAGTAAAATAAAACTTGGTCTTAACGAGTGCTTTTCACTCTTAGAGAGTCCTTCCTCAAAATTTTCAGGAATTTACATGCATTTATTTCCTTTGACCTCTTCCATTTTCTATACTGGCTCTTTGTCCTTTGCCCACTGATGGATTGATCCTTGGCCTGCTTCTCTCTCTACAAGCTCTTAGCAATTTCCTCCATGCTGCCTTTAACTGCTACCATCTACTAACTGAGAATTTCCCGAGTTTCCAGTGCCTACTCCCCTGCTCTTCAAAATGAACCTTTCCTATGCTGAACTTAAACTACAATATTACCTATTTGACCATCCACCCGGTCACCTTCAGAGTAATCCTCAAATCCTACTGACATCTGCTCTTCCGGTTGAAGCAGCAGTGACTGTTGGGGAGTGCTTTTCTCCTCTGGAGAAATCTGTGTTTCCTTTTATTTTTTTTAAAGATTTTATTGATTTGAGAGAACACCAGCAGGTGTAGAGGGAGAGGGAGAAGCAGACTACCCCCTGAGCAGGGAGCCCGATGTGG